TTCTTAAACAAGGAGAACTGCATTTATGCAGCCATCATTCTCTGGATTGTTAGTAACTTGGGCATATTTACCTGCAAGTTAAAAAAAAAAAACACACGCATTCAGGAAAGAAACAAAAAGGCGAATCTTACACGTAAGGTGGGAAGTCTTAACCTACCCCACACTACTTTTCCCTTATCGGTAACCAGACCAAGTTCACTCACATTCACCTGAAATGATATAAACCAAAGTATATCAAATTAATTGCAGGAACCTATATTTACTCTGGAGAATACATAAAGAATGAGATTAGTTCGATAAAGAATGAGACTAGTCGGTCATCACCTCTATAAGTGTACCCTTCGTTATCACACCAAGAGAAGTATACATAGGACCGTTAGGGTTTTTCTTAATCCCAATTATCTCAAGATTAAATGTGCATTTCAGTTCAGGGTGGGTAACATGGGCTTTGGTAAACCGCAAGCCCATAGGTCTAATGAAGCGCTCGTATTTTGGTGGTTTTCTTGTAAATCCAGGCCCAACAAATGTCACTTTAGTGACCATCCGCTTCCATTGCTTGTCTGCGTGAAGGCACATAAGGATTGCAAAGTCAGCGAAAAGACAACACCTTCCATCTTACACATTGAACAGTACAGTAAAAGCGCCCTTTTAAGTTTTAACAATAGAGTCAAGTAGCTTTATTTCAAAGGACAGGTCCGAACAGAATCAAAAAAATGAACCCATGCACTAAACAGTACTGAAAACACACCCTTTTAACTTTCCAGACTCCAATAGTAGGGAAGTAGCAAAAGAGAAGGGCAAAACAAATCATAAACAGGAAGCTAACAGAAAAAGTTTTCATGCCAGAAAAATAATGCAGCTACTACAGTGTCCTAGTTGGATCTTTCCCTCTCTAAACAACAACGTAACCTCCTATAAGCAGGGAAATTTAAGGTTAATTCAGACTGCTTCCCCTGCTTTATTGAACCGCAATATTATTAGTAGTTAAGCATGTTTTGGGTGCGTTAATTAACTACTAAGGGTGTGTTTGGTTTGTAGTAGTTGGAATCCCAAGCAGTTCCAACTACATCAAAACTCCCAAAACAAGTTTTTCCTTTAAAAACATAACTCCAAAAGGGTGTTGTAACAAAAAAGTCCCAAAAACAGGGGAGTTATAACTGTGCCCAATTTGGTGTGCTGAAACAGCAGAAGCTAAAGCGTCCTGTGGTTCTGGAACAGAAAAAGCGTGTTCCAGCTTCAAGAATTTTCTGCTTTTGGATACAGTCACCTCCGAAGCCGAAGGTAAAGCTCTACAACCCCTAATTTTTTCCTCCCTGGTCTTTTTATTCTAAGTGGGTGAGAAGGATTTCGCATTAAGTGTACAACGATTAGTACATGTAAAGATCATAAACCCTAGAAGAGACTTCGCTTGGAAGGAATAATTTTTCCCTTCAAAACACGACACTGGGATCTCTTTGTAACATACGCCTTTGCATGTGATCAGAAAGAATCTGATGGGTAAACAGAGAACACCTGGAACTGATGTAATTATCTTCCTCTACAATAGCTACTAGAAAGGAAGTATGAGCAATTCTCTTATATAATATGTATGCTTGATGCATAGTTGCATGGAACACGGCTTTTTTCCAGTTCAATTTAAGGGGTACGGGAACGTGGTACGCCATTCATTAGTAACTGGTACAAGCGAGTAGGCTTAAGTAATGCGTCAGTGAACGTAGTACACTTTAGGTTCGGTTCTTAAATGCTAGTTGATATCAGTAATGGTAAAAGAACCTTAAGAATCATGTTACAATTAAGATGTGCATACTTCATTTACTTAATATCTCACGTTTTTGTTGTTTATTCTTGTAAAAGAGTTATTTTTAAAAAAAAATTAGCTTGTTTGAATTCTAAATCGGGTTGCTGCAGTTGGTGAATTGGATCGTTTTCCACTCGAATCTGGGACTATTGAACCAGGCCGCGGTCCGCGATAGCGTACCATGGTCCCAACTTATATGTTTGATGTATATGATTGATTTAACCAGATCGCTCTAAAAAACCCACGAATGCTTTATTAATAAAATATGTTGCCTCTCTTCTTTCACCAGTTTATCTTAAAGCTGCTTGTTTCACATACAAGGTGGTTGACTAGAGGTGCTAGGTTTAAGGTACTATTTCACTGAACTGAATCATTGTTCATGAAATTTCACACTTCCTTTTATCGATCCTAAAAATTCTTTTCTGGTATGTTCTTCTAAGCATTGCTTTTAGTTTGTATTTTAAATGATATAGTTTCAGCTTCATATTTCTTATGCTATCTTTATGAATTTTTCAAAATCAATATGATTGCTATATCTATGTTCTAATTAATCTTGTAAGCTAAACTGTATGCTTGTGTTGCATGGGTATTTAGATGTTTAGCATAAAACTAAATGATATATTTATTTTCTTATTGATTTAGCTGCATTCATCATCTATACATGCTCAGCTACATTTATTCCCTCAAATCAAGAGTTCAAGACTCTAAAAAAAAGTTGCAGCTATGACAATAATGATGACTGGAGTTATGTCTATCATATATGGTTTAAATTGATGGTCTTCGAAAGAAAATGCAGTAATTTAACCCACAAGACACTTGACTAAAAATAAATATTTGGAAAGCATAATATATTTGTCCGACACTCATTGTAGAGATATGTGCAGAATGAATAGAATCCCATTTTGCACGATACTGAAGATTAGAGGTCTATTGCAGGACACCTTTCATGTTACCATTGAGATATAAGTAGCAATGTTCCTACACACTAGGCCACAATGTGAGAAATAGAGAAGTTAGACACAATTTTAAATGATCTGTTAGACAATTTTAAATGATCTAGAGAGATTGTTAGTAGATACTTTAATCATGTCTTGCTTGAATTGGAGAGTTACGAAATGAGATCATCATAGCTCCAAAGAACACCCCCCCACCCAAAGATATCAATGAGCCACAGATTCATGCCATATTTCAAGGTAATTGTCAAGTGTTTATAATGTTTATATTCAAACTAAGTAATAAAAGATAAAAAGTGTCATAAACTTGTATTATAATTTATTTTAGGATTGCATTACAGCTCTTGATGGGACTCATATTCATGCAACTATTCCTGCATCTCTTGCTGGGCAAATTTGTGGCACAAAACCTTTCACTACCCAAAATGTTTTAGCATGTGTGGATTTTGATTTGAAATTCACTTACATATTAGCCGGTTGGGAGGGTGGGTTTTGCACATGATTCCTTGGTGTCAAGTAGTGCATTAGAGGAATAAGATGGTTGAAGAGTTGAAACAAGAGTTGAAAACAGTAATGTGACTATCGATATCTAAGATATGTAGTAAAACTCACCTCATAGTTAACTTTCTATTATCATGACAAATTGTAGGAAAATACTATCTTATAGATGTTGGATACTCAACCTAACCTGGCTTTATTGCTCCTTATTGATACCACTTGAGAGAATATAGAAATCATGAACCTACTAATAACAAGGAACTCTTTAATCACAACCATTTTTCGCTTAGGACCACAATTGGAAGAGTGCTTGTTTCTCTTAAAGGAGATTTAAAATACTCAAGAATGAACGTTATCACCCATTTCCATCACAAAAAGACAGTGTTCTTATGTGTGGTGTGCTTCCAAATTTTATTACTGATCAAGGCGGTGATGAGTTAATACCATCTGAAGCAAATTGGACACCGCATAGCAGTCATCATAAGGTAAATGATGAAGGTGACAATGCAGAGTGGATTTCTCTTAGAGATCATATGGCAAATGAAATATGGATTAATAATCAAATTAGTCAATGTATGTTTTATAGTTTTCATTGTTATAGTTCTTGAATGCAAATGTTATCTGCAGAATTCTATTTGAACAACTGATTGAAAATATCTTATCATTATTTGTTTATATTAGGTTATTTACTGATGTAATTATTCATTAATCATCTTGTTTGCATTTATTTTTGCATATTTAATATGAAACTTGTTTCTTAATTAGACATTATTTGTGGATGTATTTTAACTAATATCAGATGGAAACAAATAGCAACCCGCCAATAGAGACCATGCAACCAAAGATGTGGAAATTGTAGATGGTAGCAATCAAGAAGGAAAGAGTAAAACTTTCAAGTGGCCTCCACATGTTAGCAGGTTTTTTTTAATCAACTTCTTGGCTGATTTAGTGAGAAATAATGGGAAGATAGGCAAAGATTTGAAGCCTCAAGTATTCAATGCAGTTCTTCGAGAGCTTAATACGAAATATCATGCATGTAACATAACTGAAGGTAATGTAAGGAGTCACCTTCAAACTCTTACTTGTAGAATGAAATCAATTAATTTAAGGATGGAATGCAGATACAAAGACGATCATTGTTGGACAAGAAGAATTTGAAGGTTATCTTGCAGTAATTAGTTAACCTAATTGCTGTATTTTGTCAATATGTTTTTTAATCTTGCATTTTTATGCTTTTCTTAACATCAACTCTTAAACTTGCAGGTACACATAAGCCATGACATTTATCTGAACAAACGAATTGAGCAAACCAATTGAGCAGTATGAAGAGTTGTGTTTAATTGCGGGAGGAGACCACGCTACTGGAGCTTGGATGAAACATTGTTCACAACCTTTAGGAAAGGCACTCAATAAAAGTTTCGCACAATTCTCGCCTGTTAATGTTGAGGCTATTTTAGAAGATGCAGAGTTTATGGAGGGATTCTCCTAACCCCTCTAAAAGTACTCCAACGGGATCATCAAGTCAGCATGCTTCTCATAAAGAAAAAAAGAAGAGGAAACGAAAGGAATGAGTTCCTTATGAATGCATGGACAAGCTGACTATACGCAGTTGGTAGCATTGTAATGTCAATGACTGAAGATGTAATCTTGAGTTTCACAAATAAACTCTATGATACAATCATGTCATTGTCGAGATACGATAATAGTATAAAGTCATCAGCATATGAATATTTTTGCAAGCTGGTCATGAGTATAAAGCTCGTGGATTTTTGAGTCGTAGTGTTGAGATGCGCCATCAATGGATGGATGAGTTCTTCTCCAGAAATTCTACCTAGAGGGATATTTGGTGCAATGGGTGGTTTTGGTAATAGCAACTTTAGCGGCACAAACATACGTCGTGAAGATCCCTGGCATGGGAGCAATACATGGAGAAACAGATGACGTAACAGGGCATCAAGAAGAGTGTCGCTAAGTGAGGACATGAATATAGTGGTAACAAGTAACAACAATGAAACTGATGAATTCAGTCTTTATGATGACTAAATAATCTTGTAATATGCTCAAATAATTAGGGTTCTATTTGCACATCAAATATATAATCTAGTAACAATGAAAATAGTCGCAACCCAATAGTACTATGGGTTCTATTTGCACTTTTTTGGTTGCTTCTATTTTGGTATTATGAAGTCCATGGAGAGGAGACCCTTATTATTAATGTATGGCTTTGTGCTTTAATTATATATTTGATGTGTTATGGAGAACAAGACTAAGGCATTCCTATCAATGATGTTATTTTGTTCTTATCAAAGGAATTCAAGCCCTTGGTTGTATTTCATTGGGAGCTCTATATACATATGGATGAAGCAAGGAGTATTTTAATAGTAGGTGCATTATTAAAAAGATTCAGGGTTTTCCCGATTGCATTTTGATAGTTATTAGCTGTAAAATAATTAAATATATAAGGCTACTATTATAGCTCTTCAACAGTTATGTTATAAATTGGAGGATGTAAGTTTATGGTATGATGATTTCAATTGTTGTTGCAACACCAAAAATTCAACCAAACAACTAATGAACTAGTTGTTTGTAGCTTTAGCTTTACAATTACATGCACCCAAACATTGGTTTTATAACACATGTAATTGAAAATACATTTCAACCAAACACTACTCCACATGTATTTGGAACATGTTATTGCAACGACATTTGCAATTCCAACTAACGTAAACCAAACACACTCAATCATTTAACCTTACTGTAAAAGAGCCCTATTAACTTTCCTGTTTCCAAATAGTATGGAAGTAACAAAAGGAAAGGGCAAAACAAATCATAAACGGGGAGTTAACAGATAAGAAGGGCATCAACTACAGTCTCCCAGTTGGATCTTTCCCTCTCTAAACAACGCGGTAACCTACTATAAGTGGGTAATTTAAGGATAATTCAGACAATGTTTCGCCCGCTTTATTGAACCTCAGCATTATCAGCAGTAAGCATGCTTCAGGTGTGTTAATTAACTATTAAATATGAGTCTTGAAACCATGTATAAACAAAATCAGTTAAGCAAGCTTCAGGTGTATTAATTAACTACTAAATATGAGTCTTTGAAACGACGTGCAAACAAAATTAGACTACCAAAATAGCTTTTTCATCAAGCAAAAATATAGCTATAGTTATATCCAGAAGATGATTTTTATTGGCAGTGTCGATGATAGACTTGGCACCACAAATTTCTTCAAGAAAAGTTCTCATAGGGCCATTCTTATTACTATGCATCTTGCATTTTGATTTTGAGAAAACCGATAACACACAGAAAACTTACTTTTTCGCTTGCCAGTACGGACTACTCTAAATGCCTCAGCTTCAGCCATCGGTCTGACCTGGAAAGGGGAAGAGAAGTCAGGCAATCAGAAAAGGAAGCAACAGTTTGCATTGGGTAAAAAGGCCAGATTACCACGCAGCAATATACAGCACCAAGAAATTATTAGGAAGATCTACACAAGATTTTCCAGGGAGGTTTGAATACTTACTTTCGGTAGAGGAACATCCCATTTGCCGGCTTTTTCCTTCCTCTTTTGCTTGATTGTGTTGCTAAGAACCTATCACAACAGAAAACAATGCATCAAATTTATTAGAAACAGGACCCATAAAGTGTTACTTGGAATAAATTCAGAAATTGACTAGAATCAATTTACCTTTGCACGAGTAGTTGTATCACGATCCATCAAATAGGCAGGAATAGCACCATCCTGAACTTCATCGTCCACTTTACGTCTAGATGATGACTCATCGTGCATAGCAAGTCTGCAAAAGGTACAAGAAATATAATGGCTGTGTGGCTTCAAAATGAAATCAATTAATGCATTTTATTCTTGTAATCTCAACATAGTGCTTCATAAAACTAGTATCTGATTCTGAAACATAGTACTCCTTTTTCCACATCTATATCACTGCTTCAAAAATTAAGCTGAGCAACAACAAGGATTTCATTTCTCAAGACGAGCAACTTATGAGCCTCCAAAGGCCTTACTTTCAAACAAGATACATAAACTTGAGCTCAATATGCTAGGTTTCCATAAGAAGTCAATGTCCTAGATAAAATTTCATTACTCATCAATCAGAGAAAAACACAAATCAATTCAGCAATGTTAAAAAAACTGTAAGATCTCATTTTAAGCTTGGAAATGCTAAAGCACTCCAAAGGACTGGGCCATTGCATAGATGAAATTTAAAGTGCAAGTCAACTCCTTGTTTCTCAAAACCAAGTTTAGATCCCCCGAGCAACAAAAAGCCTATCTTTATATTGATGTAAAAATGGCATATTGGAGGGATTCAATGAAACAGAAGAAAAAAATTCCAGTAAACAGCTATCCAGATAGCTTTGTAATGTCGGACAGACTTGCAGTATACTGGTCATGAGGTCGTCTAGCATTCCTTCATGCAATATTGCAATGAAAAGAATAGATAATTCACAGTTATAACATGATCATTTTTCAGACCTGTCGCACACCTCATGAATATTGTTTAAAAATTGGATTCAACTCTGATTGTTCTCTCCACCTTCTCTTTCAGTAAAAGATGAGAAGAAAGCGGTGACAAACACACAAGTAAGCACAGAAACTACTCCCTCAATCAACTGAGAAAGAGTACTGTTCATCACGTGCACAATATGCTCTTTCCCCATATTGACAAGGAAAACAAAGACTTGATGAGACGAACAGTAAGTTTTTCTTAAAATCTACAAGAATATGTTTCAATTTTCATCTTTCCACCTCGTCTCATCTACTATCCACTAGAAGTGGCACTGAAATCAAATTTGCATTTGCCGCCAATTTCAGAACGGCAAACAGATCCGACCGGTTTACATTTCGGGATAGAACATACCTCAGTGAGATCCACCTCAATACCCTCCAAAGTTTAAGATGTATTGTCTATACTGAGGAGAGAATAACTGCCCTCATTCTCCTTCATTCTCTTCTGACATATATACTACAGCCTTTATAACATCTCTCCCTTTTCCTTGTTGCCCACCAATGCCTAACACATTCCCCTTTCTGGTAAAATGTGATATCTCCTTCTGAGTTGAGCTTAGTGAAAAAATAGGATCTAAAATGTAGCAGGTAAACCAGATCCTAACAAGCGGAGGAGATGCATCACAATACCAATTAAGCTCCATAAATGATGATTCACTGGTGATCACTGCTCACTGGTGATCATTGCTCAATTGATAAGGGAAAAAAATCATAACTGGAAAGGAATTTTCTTCATATCAACACTTCATACAGGTCTTATTCTCTTGAACTTAACCTAGGGGAGAGGTTGAGAACCAGAAAGTAAACTGAAAGTATAAAGTGAAGTCGTGTGTTTCTATTTGCAAATCTTATATTTGAATGATAGAAAGTGAAAACGTTGAAAGTTGGGGTAGCTGTTGATGATGCATCCACATTCTTCATATTTACCATTTGGTCACTGCGGGAAATGGAAAAGGCAATGTCTGACTCTGGCCCTTATAAAAGCATATATGATTAATAACCACTAACTGTCATCTATTAAGGTCCAGAGAACTATTTATTCTTATATTCAGACCAGAAATACTAGCTTTTTTTATTTTTCCGTATCTGAAGTCTTCGCTTCAACAAGACAAAAATCTCTACAAGAAACACTCATATCCACATCACCATAGATCCATTTGTCAAGACACAAAATTATCATCTATCACAAAATTGTGCATAGCTAGCTGAATACTAACTACTTCTCCCATTGCCCAAATATTAATCCTGGCTGACCTTTTGCTCCATCCCCTTAGATAAATGTACCTTTACTGATCACACCTAAGCACTTCCTTCTAACCAAAAGAAACAGATTTTAACCAAAAAACATATCACTGAAGTACCATACCCATTCAATTTAAGGTTCCAATATTTTAACCAAAACAAAAAAACAAAAAACAGATGTTTGAGGAAACAAAGGAGTCTTACGTTTTCTTCATCAAAGCTTTCTCCTGATACCGCTTCTTCGCAAACATCTTCCCTTTAATACCAAGAGCCTGCAGCCAAAACTCAAAACAATCACACCACAAATTCTCTACAAAATGGGGAACACAATTCCATCTCAAATCTCAAATCATCAAAAGATCAAAAAATATTCGACCTTTTGGGCGAAAGCGGAGCGCTTGTGGACCTGTCGCGCCTCCTTCTTCCTCTTGCGGTCGAAGTGGTCGAGCCGGTATCCATGGCGCTTCCGATGAAGCTCGATGTAATCTCCTTGAGGCTGTAGAAGACGAAAACAGAGGAAGAATTCAAGATTGAAATCAGAGAAGAGAATGAAATAAATTGAAACCCTAGATACCGAGAGAGAGGACGAACCATGGCGGCGAGTTGGGAGGCGAGACGAGGATAGGTTGAAACCCTAAAAACAGGGTTTTACAAAAGAAGGCCGGAAAAAGAGCGGTGGGATAATATAGGGAGTATATTCACGTGCTATGCACGTGTATGTAATAGGTCGGTTGGAAGGACAAATTTTAGCTCTAGACCTTTTTAGAAACATATTTTTAAAATTTTATCTATTTCAAAAGTAATGGCCAATTTCAACTCAGATTTAGCTAAACTGGATCGAAATTGGCGAAAAATGTTCTAAAACTTCACAGAATTTGGAATCGACGGGATCTAGGGAACCTAGCAATTCTTCGAGTCGCGAGAGCTACTTCCTCTACGATTCTCCTTCTCTGAAGCTCATTTTCGTCTAATTCTTCTTTTTGATTGTCATTGTGAGGTGCTGAACCTTGGGAATGGAGGAGGAAGAGAGACGTCGACTTGACGTTCTAGCAGTGGGAAATATTGGAAGGGTTTAGGGTTTATTGATAGGCTCTTTGGAGGTATACTTCACAGGAGTTGAAAATCCCATGAAGTTTAAGCTTCACGGAATTTCAAATCTCGTGAAGATTTGCCCCGCTTAACCATCTCATTAAGAAATGTTCTAAATTTTCACGGTATTTCAAATTCTGTGAAGTTTTAGAATATTTTTTCGTTAATTTTAGGGAAAAATGTTTCTAGGCCCCTTCAAAATAAAAGGGATGTGACCCAGCCCCTCATAGTTTTTCTCTTGTGTTTCAGCCCCCTCACACTCTCCCAGGAACAACTTTCCGAAATTACCTCTTCCCCTTTTCTTCTTCTCCTCCTCCTCCTCTCCCCTCTCTCCTCTCCTCCACTTCTTCTTCTCCAAACCCTGGCCCACACCCCCACCCCTCCTCCCTCCTTGGGCCCCATCCCCGACCTCCTCCGCCTCATCNCCACAAACACTCTCACTCTTATCGCCGCATCTGCTCTGAAACCTCTCCCTCTTTCAGATCCGCAAGGGACTTTAAAGGAAGTTCCCTATTCTTCTTCTTCGTCTTCTTCTTCTTGGTTTTTGATTTCGAATTGAAAGGGAAATGGCGTTCCATCTGAGGCAAATGGTTGCTGCTTTTCTCACTCTGTCAATGTTCACTGTGCTTGGGAATATGATTAAGCAGGATCACTTTGATTCATAAGGTACGATCTTTATTAATTGAGCTTGAGTTAGAGTTTTTGAATTTGATTGAGTTTTTAGGTTCATTGTATTGGATTTTGGACATCTATGTTCGTTTTGTGATTAAATTGGGTGTTTTGATGTTGAATTATGTTAACGTGTTGATGATTTAATGTGGATCTGTTCTTAGTCTTGATTTTTTTGCAAGCAGGTGTCTAGAGAGGTTTCTTGCACACAAGGTGTTTGATATAATGCCTTAGTGAGAAGAAATGATTTTATTGGAGAGAATGGCTCAAACTCAGGTGTGGGTTATAATTTGATGGAATTAAGCAAGATTTGAGACTGCAAAAAAATCTATGCATGTGAAAACCCAGAGATGATTAGTTTTTTAGGATAATGTTTTTGATTAGGCTTAGTGCGTGCATTCTGTGGTGAGAGAGGAATGGACAGTTGAAGTTTTTGATAAGGGAATGCTCTCTGGAGGAGTGTATGAAGATAGAATGGTGAAGCTTCTTCAGATTGCATTGAAGTGCATATACAAATCTGCCGATGCTCGACCAACTATGAGCCAAGTTGCCGAGATGATACATTCATTGAAGGAAGAAGAGGATAGGTCTGTTGTGTCTGAAATTGATTCAAGAGATGCTTAAAGCTGGGGAGTCTATTTTCATAATGTATTGGAATTTATGTATATATTTTGTTTGACTATTATTATTTGCTAGTGTGTATGTGTTGGTCACATATGAGGAGGTGGAAAAACATTGTTTATTTGTTACACTGATCAAGTGCTTTGGAGAGATGATGAAGTAGAAGGACTAGACTGAAAATTGCATTGATGTGTTGTCGGTTGATCAAGTGCTTTGGAGAGATGATGAAGTAGAAGGACTAGACTGAAAATTGCATTGATGTGTTGTCGGTTGTTGTGATCTTATGTTCTTGGATTCAAGTAGAAGGACTAGACTGAAAATTGCATTGATGTGTTGTCGGTTGTTGTGATCTTATGTTCTTGGATTCAAAGCTTTTAATTGTATGTATATATTATATTGAGAGTTATTGGCTAGATGCCATGATGTGTTGTCAATTGTTGTAGAAATTATGCTCTTGGATTCAAGATTATTGAGTTCTTGTATATCTTTGGCAAAAAAACTAGCAGAAAAACGAAAGGGAAAAATAAGAACAAGAGAAAGAAAGGAAAAATATTAACTATAATAGTTATATGTTGACTTTTAGCAGAACGTATTAACTTTCATCCTAATATGTTAACTTTTCATATTGGATATTAACTTTCGCTGCTTTATGTTAACTTTTATCCTAACCTGTTAACTTTCACTGCTTTATTTTCGTAGAAGCGTTTAAAAAAAGCTATGAATGTAATTGGTGATTGGTGTGGATTGCTTATTAGTACAATACTTTGGTAGAGCAATGTATGTTGTCAAGACTTTTGTAGCATATTGTATTATATTTTTGTAATATCTAAGATTGTAGTCTAATCATATATTGTATTCAAGCAATATCAGCTGTAAGAATGTAAAAATTTTATTATGGTAAACGTTAACATGTTCAGTTGAGAGTTAACATGTTATGATAAACGTTAACATGCTCAGTTAAAAGTTAACATATTATGGTAAAAGTTAACATGTAATAGTGAATGTTAATTTATTATGATGAAAATTAACATGTTCAGCTGATAGTTAACATGTTATGAAGAAAGTTAACATATTTATTATGAAAGTTAGCATATAAACCTAAACGTTAACATATACACCTAAAAGTTAACATATACAGATGAGAGTTAACATGCTCATGTGAAAGTTAACATGTTCAGGTTAAAGGCAACGTTTTTAGCTTAAATTTTAATTTTAATTACATTTTGTACGCTGGAGCATATTTCAGAATAAAAGGATAACCACGACATGATTAGACTTACAATCTTAGAACTTTATGATTTTTCACATGTTAGCATTTCAGTTAGAACTTTTAGTCTTTTAAATACATCGAACTTTAGTTCAAAAAACTTGTTATGAAGAAAGTTAACATGATTTGTGAAGAAAGTTAACATGTAACAGTGAAAGTTAACATATTATGCTAAAGTTAACATGTTCAGCTGAAAGTTAGCATGTTACGATGAAAGTTAACATATAATGATGAAAGTTAACATGATTTATGAAGAAAGTTAACATGTTATTATGAAAGTTAACATGTAACAGTGAAAATTAACATATTATGATGAACGTTAATATGTTCAGCTGGAAGTTAACATGTTACGAGGAGAGTTAACATATAATGATGAATGTAAACATAATTTATGAAGAAAGTTAACATATAATGTGATTTAATAGTGCATCGTAACTTGAAGATTATGTACATGATTTATATATATTATGTACACAATAACCTCAAGATTATGTACATATTATGTACCAAAGATTATGTACATGATTTATATATATTATGTACACAATAACCTCAAGATTATGTACATATTATGTACCATAATATTCAGGTTTTGATACCAAGATTATGTACATATTATGTACCATAATATTCAGGTTTTGATACACATAATTTATATATAATCTTCAATTTATTATGCACATTAAGTTCTATTTGAATGAAATTGTACATATTCACATGACAGCCACAATATATTTTACATACAATCGTAATAAATTACACTAAAATTGATCACTAAATAGACACAATATATTTTATTAAATTTTGATCTAAGTACAACCAAATCACAAGAACACATAGTATAATCAACTAAATAATGAAACATGACACGTTACAAACAATTGTGGATGCAACATAAGGATCATCAGTACAACAATTTTAGAATTGAGTAGTAGTCACTAGAGGATGATTCGACATTTCACAACCATAAAAATTATAATCCACGGCTGAGATTGAGCCATTCTCTCCAATAAAACCATTTCTTCTCATCGATGCATTATATCAAACACCTTGTGTGCGAGCAATTCCCATCAGTTTGGGCTTCAAAGACCAATCGATGGTCTTCCCAAATCGAGCCAATATCCCTCTGCATCCCAATTCATCTCAGATTCATAATCCTCGTCATCCTTCTCTTTAGATGAAACTACTAAGTTCCTTCCAATCGATCTGATAGAATTCATGCATTCGCTCAACCAGTTCCAACATCCAAAACCATTTGTTGGCCAAATGATGAGCAAAACTAATAAATTGACCAAGGTACCTGACATTACTAACCCCAATAAAAATCATAAACATTAGGAAGTAACTGAGAATGTAGCACGAGAGGACCATTCAAGTGAACAGCATGTGTTGGAAGCCTCACCTTTAACACAAAAAACATAAATTTTTTCATCAGTCTTAAATTTTGCTTAATTCCATCATGCAAGATGTCATTTCCCTTTCAATTCGAAATCAAGAACCAAGAAGAAGAAGAAGAGAGAGAATCTCCTTCAAAGTCCCTTGCGGATCTGAAAGAGGGAGAAGTTTCAACTCAGAGCATATGCTGAGGTAGGGGTGAGAGCTCTGGTGGCCGGCCTAGTCGAAGACCTTGAAGCGGAGGAGACGAAGGAGGACGGGGCCCGGGGAGGGGGCAGGGAGGAGGGGTGGGGGGTGTGGGCCGGGGTCTGGAGAAGAAGAAGAGGAGGAGAGAGGGGAGAGGGGAGAGGAGGAGAGAAGAGAGAGGGGAGAGGAGGAGGAGAAGAAGAAGAAGGAGAAAAGGGGAATGGGTAATTTGGGAAAGTTTTTTATTGGGAGAGTGTGAAAGGGGCCAGAACGCACTTTGGAGGGCTGGAACACAAGGGAAAAAATATGGGGGGCTTTGCCACATCCCCTTTATTTATTTAGGGTCTAGAAACATTTTTCCCGTAATTTTAACCCAGTTTCAGCCAATTGGCTGACACTGGATCGAAATTGGTGATTATTTTTGATAAAGGTCAGTTTTTGAAAATAT